CGTTTGGGTCTAGAATAGGGTATCATTTTTCACAAAACTGACTGGTTGGTTGAAGATTTTATCTAGATTAAGGAAACCAGAAATTGCCACTCAAAAATATAAAAAAATCAAATCGGCAAGTTTAAATTTACGCAAATCAGCCTAAACAGTGTCAATAGATGGGGGGATTTGGGGAGTTAACTCTACTATAGGTTAGCAAAATTCAGCCGAACTAGCTCTGGTATAGGCTAGGGGCTCCGCCGCTCCGGGGTCACAGCGGCACATCCCCACCCAGAAATTTCCAAACTATCCCCCCCGGGCCTATGGCCTACCGGTGGTCAGATTTTTTAAAAAATAAACAAAACATTAGTAAGAGTCGAATGACTAAGGTGGCATAAAATTATATTCATTGTGGTTTCTTGTATCCCTCTTACAGGAGTAAACTAAAAAGTCACCAACTATTAAACACTAACACTAACACTAACAGTCACTAACGCTGTTCATTACATGTTTACACTAGCACTCCTCTCTATGTTACAAACTGGCAGCCGGTATGGATCGTGGAGCCGACATTTTGGATACTCTCAGTGACCACGTGATATCGGCCGTTCCCCCCGGGGGAGGGGACTCCCATAAATGACGGGGGTGCTTTCTATACCTTTTGGGGTTAAAAACGCAGTTTTGTTACCTCTTAGGGTGTTTAACCTCAAAAGGTCCACAGCGGGAACTTTTGCGGTACTTTCTAGGGTATTGAGCTCAAAAATATGACAGGAGATAGTGTCTTATGTGAGAATTGGTACCTCTTAGGGGAGAAAAAAATTTCAAGCCACGCCCGCAAACAAGGATCTTGGCACCTCTTAGGGGTTCTTGTCAAAATTTCCGACCAGCACCCCTGTCCTTTTTATATGGGGGTTCCCCCGGGCCCTTCCCTGCCCTCTTAACCTGCCGTTATGGTTGATTGCTTGTCTGGGGAAGATAGAAGTCGAAGAGAGCGAGAAATAGGACGTTTCAAGGCTGAGTGCTGTAAGGTTGACATTGTTTTGTTCCCTCTGATGTTGATAATCGTGTTAGTGACTTTTTAGTATACCCCTATTAGAGGGATGTAATTTTATGCCAGCTAACTCGTTCGACTCTTACTGATGTTTTGTAAATGTTTTTAAAAGTCTGACCACCTTAGGCCATAGGGTAGGCCACAAGGTAGGTCATGGCCTACCCCACGTTTTGTCCACACCCCGGCCTAGGGTGTAAATTTGCCGCTTGAAAACTTTTCCCACCACCTGTTCACCTAAGAACTTTCCGCTGCGGTCAACCCTGCAAGACTTTCTCTTTCCGCTCAGTGAGTAAATATAGTATGTCTCAGTCTGTACATGCTAGCTGTCTGCACGCAATCAGAGACGAATAGCCATGTGGACAAACGTTACAAAGGGTGTTTACTTTCCACAATGATAAACCGCGCTTATCGCCTGTCATCGACTCCTACCGCGTTTTCCGAGGAATGCGACAAGCTTCGAACTACCTTTCTAAACCTGGATTATCCTGTAAATTTCTACGCAATATCGACAATATTACTGCGCTTGATGATGCAAATGATGGCACCTCTAATATCGTGGTACCACTACCATTTAAAGATCAACAATCAGCCAACTCAGTAAAAAGAGAAATGCAAAATCTGAGCGCAAAAATTGGAGTACAAATANCTTTACCATGGAAATAGCCGAGCAGGATACTATTTCCTTTGTTGGCATGAACATTACTAAATGTGGAAACAGACTTGAAACATCAGTACACAGAAAGTCCACAAACACGGGCCTGCTCCTTCACTATCACAGCCATGTGGACAAACGTTACAAAGGCTGTTTACTTTCCACAATGATAAACCGCGCTTATCGCCTGTCATCGACTCCTACCGCGTTTTCCGAGGAATGC